TTTGGCGATGATCTTTTCATCTTCACTGTCCACGGGTATAGTGCCGGAAGATTGGAGAGAGGCAAACATCATTCCCTTGTTCAAAAAAGGGAATAGGGATAACCCCAGAAATTACGGGCCAGTTAGTCTTACGTCAGTGGTGGGCAAAATTATTGGAAAGGGCTCTGAGAGATAGGATTTAAGATCACTTGGAAAGGCACAGTTTGATTCGTGATAGTCAGCATGGATTTGTGAGGGGTAGATCATGCCTCACAAACCTTATTGAATTCTTTGAAGAGGTGACCAAACACGTGGATGAAGGTATAGCAATGGATGTGGTATACATGGATTTAAGTAAGGTGTTTCATAAGGTTCCCTAAGGTAGGCTCACGCAGAAGGTAAGGAGGCATGGGATAGGGGGAAATGTGGCAGATTGGATTCAGAATTGGCTGACCCTTAGAAGACAAAGGGTGGTAATGGATGGAAAATATTCAACATGGTGCTCAGTTACGAGTGGTGTACCACAAGGTTCTGTTCTGGGTCCTCTTCTATTTTGATTTTTGTAAATGATTTGGATGAAGGAGTGGAAGGGTGGATTAGTAAGTTCGCGGATGATACGAAGGTGGGTCGCGTTGTGGACAGTGCAGAGGGCTGTTCTAGGTTACAAAGGGACATGGATAGGATGCAGAGCTGGGCTGAGAAGTGGCAGATGGAGTTTAACCCTGAAAAGTGTGAGGTGATTCATTTTGGAAGGACAAACTTGAAAGCAGAATACAGGGTTAACAGGAAGATTCTTGGCAGTGTGGAGGAGCAGAGGGATCTTGGGGTTCATGTCCACAGTTCCCTGAAAGCTGCCATCCAGGTGGATAGAGTTGTTAAGAAGGCGTATGGTGTGTTAGCTTTCATTAATAGAGGGATTGAGTTCAAGAGCCGTGAAGTTATGCTCCAGCTATACAATAGCCTGGTTCAGCCACAACTGGAGTATTGTGTCCAGTTCTGGTCGCCTCATTACAGGAAAGATGTGGAAGCAGTGGAAAAGGTGCAGAGGAGATTTACCAGAATGTTGCCTGGAATGGAGGGAAGGTCTTACGAGGAAAGGTTGAGAGAGCTCGGGTTTTTCTCTTTAGAACGATGAAGGATGAGAGGTGACTTGATAGAGGTGTACAAAATGATCTGAGGTATAGATAGAGTGGACAGCCAGAGACTTTTTCCTAGGGTGGAGGTAGCTATTACGAGGGGGCATAGCTTTAAAGTGAGTGGAAGTAGATATAGGGGAGACGTCAGAGGCAGGTTTTTTACTCAGAGAGTGGTAGCGGAATAAATTGCCGGAGGGTAGTGGAGTCGGCCTCATTAGGGGCATTTAAGCAGCTATTAGATTGGCATATGGATGATAGTAAACGGTAGGATTGGAGGTTAGATAGACCTTAGGATTAGGGTAAAAGTTCGGCACAATATCGTGGGCCGAAGGGCCTGTACTGTGCTGTACTGTTCTATGTTCTATAATTCAACCTCAGAGTAGTGCCTACTACTGAACTGGAATGAGACTGGTAAACACATTCTCACAATGGTAGCCAACAGAGTAGTTTGGGGTAGATCTGAACCAGACTCTAAAGACGTCGAACTCAGAGCACTATCCATCCCCTCACTTGTGGAGAAGTCCGGTAAAACCAAGCTTAATCTTAAAATTGGAGCTTTCAAATTCAATGAAGTATGTCTTCACCTCTAGAAAAAACTTGGACTTCTCTCCTCCTAAAAAGCTGTTGAAACTAAGTCAGATTAGTGGGTGTAGTTTCTCCTGGTGCTGGGACATATCAATATTGAATTCAATTTATAGTTTAACATTAAACTACCTGATACAACTACACATAATAGTTGAGTGATATTTCCTTATTATTCAATAATTAAAACACAGTAAAGATGACAGGGCGGCTGAAGAGTTACAGCTGTAATAAATGAGAACTGGTGGACACCCATGATCCATGGCATGCACATTTACGTAAGCAGCTGCAGCTCAGGGACTTTTCCTCAGAACTGATGAGCTAGAGTCTAAGCTTTGCTGTGATACGTCAGGGAGGAGGCAAGTTACTTGGATATTTTGTTCCAAGAAACAATCACAGTCCTTTGAATAAGTAATTTAGATTTGGTCTGTGATCAGGGAGAAGTAGGTGTGACCGTGATTGAGAAAGCTATTGGATGCAGGAGGTAGCAATAGCAGAGTTTCAACCTCTCCAGTGATCCAACAAGTTTGAGGTAATTGCAGCTTGTGCACGAGAGCAGGGATTGCATGGAGGACAATCAAACTATATTGAATGAGATGCAGGGAACCAGCTAAGTTAGGGGAGTCAAATAAAACACAATCGTAGTAAAGGGCAGTAAAGTCATGGCAATAGATATGGTTTTCAACAGCTAGGAATGTGAGCTCCATAAGCTGCGGTGTCTGACTGTTTTAGGTTTATGATATCTCCTTAGGGCTAAGAGGAATTGAGACACAGAGAAAGGATCCGATTGTCAAGATTCTTAGTGCTATCAATGACATAGGTAGGAGTGGAAAAGGTTCTATTGAGGGAAAAGGAACAGCTAGGGAATAAGCTAAAAAGCAAAACAACAAAGCTATAATTTATGTATTAATATCCGAGCCATGAGGAAATGAGTATATGGTAAATAAGTTCAAAGAGTCGAATGCATGGCTGAAAGATTGGTGTGGAAGAAATGAGTTTTGAATCACAGGGCACCAACACCAAAACTGGAAAAGAAGAAGCTGTACTATTGCGACAGCCTTCACCTAAATCACACTGGATCTAGTATCCTGATGAGTTGTATAATTAAGATTGTAGAGTGGACTTACATCAAAATAATATGGTATGATTCATGCAAGGGAAATTTGGAAAGAGAAAGAAAAGGGACAAGACAAAACTGTAGCACTGACAGGATATGGGTAATGGTAACCAGAGTGTGACAGGAAAGGAAACAGTGTACACACAAGAGCGAACCAACAAATATGGAGAGAGTATGAAAAAAAGACTTTAGCAATAGAGGAGTGTTTGAGTGAACGGAGATTTAGAAATCCAAAGATAAATGATCATGCAATATGAATGTATATCAACATGCGTAAAGACAAGCTGAATGAAAACAGGAAGACACAGAAAGTTTAATATTTATAATGTATCAGAAAGTAACATCCATTCAAGGAATCATAATAAAAAAATACTGAAGTCACTTTATGTGTGCAGCATCAGCATAACAAACGTGAAGTAGCGGCACAAATAAAGATACAGGAAATGGTTTAGATCTAATCACAACTACTGAGGGAGATATCTATACATTAACGAGGTTGGCAAATAAATATTCCAAGGTTAAAGACATTTTGAAAAGTCACAATGGAAAAGGAGGGGTGGCCTTGATAATAAAGGATGACATAAGGACATCAGTGAGAAAGAATCTTACATCAAAAAAATCAAGAAATTGAGTCAGCATGGGTGGAGATTAGTATATTTGGATTTCCAGAGGAAATTCAATAAAATGCCACACAAAAGATGAATACACAAGATAAAGCTCATTGAGTTGATTGATATATTTGCATGAGTACAGGATTGGACAGGAAGTGGAAAACAGGGATAATTGTGGCAATTTCAAGTTAGTAGACTGTGACTAATGGAGTGCCAAAAGGATTCGTTCTGGGGTTTCAACTATTTACAAGCTACGTTAACGACATTGGCAAAGAGATAAAGGCTGTTGTGACTCCAGAGGTAATATCTCTACCTGAGTCAGAAGGGTTAGGATTGTGTTCAAGTGCCACCTTTCCAGCAGTATGTCATAATATGTCTGAAGTGGTTGATTAAAAATATCTAGACAGAAAGATAGTGGGGCTCTTGTGGTGCAGAGATAGTGTCCTATCTCAGAACCTGGAGATCTTGGTTCAAATCATAGCTGCTCCAGTGGTGTGTCATAACATCCCTGAACAGGTTGGTTAAAAATACCTAGACACAGAGATGGAGAGTAATCTATTCAATTTTGCTGATGATATAAATCTTTGTGGGAACACAAGCTGTGAGGACATAAAGACACTCCATTGAGATATTGGCAGAATAACTGAGCGGTCAACAAGGCAGCAGATGCAGTAAAACATTGAGAATTGTGAGGTTATTCATTTTGCTTGTAAGGGCAGAAAAGCAAAATGTTTTTAAAGGGTGTGAAACTTATAAATGTCGATATTCAGATAGAATTGGGTGTACTCATATAAGGAACACAAAAGGATTGCATAGAGATACATGGAGCAATTGGGAAAACAAAAGGTGTTTTGTCCTTTCTTGAAAGGAGACTGGAGTACAAAAATAAAGAGATGTTGATACACCAGTAAAGGGTTTAGTAAGACCACGTTTCAAATGCTGCATGCAATTTTGATCTCAAATAATGAGGAAGGATATACTTACATTTGAAACAATACAGTGAAGGATCACTGCATTGGTCTTGGGACAGGCAGGTTTGTCCTTTGATGGGTCTATACTCTCTGAGTTTAGAAGAATCAGATGTAACCTCAGAAACGGCTTGACAGGGTAGACTTGAGGCATTGTCTCCCCTTGCTGGGAAAATGCATGCAAGGAGGTGGTTTCAGGATAAGGGGACAATTGGTTGTAAAGTTTGGAATTCTCTATCTCAGACAATTCTGGATGCATCATCAATGGATATATTTAAGGCTGACAGACAGACTTCTGGTCTCTAAGATCAGCCAAAATCCAATCGATGGAAGAGCAGGTTCAAATAGCCATATAGTCTTCTGCTGCTCCTATTCCTTATATTCTCAAATTTCAAATTAAATTGCGCCAAATAAATTTTTGTTGGGCAAGCGTATTAGGATTTAACTAAGAAGGATACGTTAAGATACAGATCAGCCATAACTTAACTGAATGATGGAACAGGCCTGATTGGCTGATATGGCTAAATCCTGTCCCAATCAGAAAATTTCTAGGCTACAGTTGACTGGGATGTAAAACATAGGAAATGGGTTAGAGTTGGAAACTTACCCTTCAGATTGTGACTTCTTACGCAGATGTTCAAAGTATAAATACCCAAGGGAGTTGACACACATGGACACTTCACCATGATTCTGAATTTCCATTCGAAATGGCTTTGCTATAACCAGTACCTGAGTGCATCCATCAGCTGCAGCCAGTGTGAAAGAAAGCCCATCCTTAGACACTACAGTCAATCTGGAAAACACACAAAGAAATGTACTAAATAGTGTGCCACACATTTACAAAGAGTTTCCTACTTCAGAACATAGTCAGAAGGAAAACAAATATTTTCACATCCAACAGCATATACAGCAAACATTTGTATTGGTATACTACCTTAAAGGGATGAATTATACAACACATTTAAAACACAACATATGTTTTATCTGCCAGGAATAGAAATTAGACACTAAAATCACATTATAACTCAAATGTATTTTTCCAACCATAATATTCCCTTCTGCTCCACTAATAATAAAACAGAAAAAAATAACTACCTAATGGTGCATTTCACAGGTACTCTCAGATCTTAAGCGCAGTTGTGCTGTTTAACTGATAATTGAACAAATCAAATTCTTAAAAGCTACAGTCAACCTGATAAATTAGTCCCGGATAAAAACAATATTTGAGAAATTAAAAGTTCCACGTACACTTTAATTTATGTCTGTTGCTTTTGGTGTTAAATGAATAGCTGCAAAATTACTAAATGGCACAGTGTCAAAACCTTCACTGGTTTTTCAGTATTTTTGTTTTATTCTTTTATCTATTTTGATTTGGAGTTGTGAATTGAGAACAGTGAGCTGAAAATGACCCTTGGAACTTGGGCAGCGCTTATGTTCAAAAGAAAACAGACCAAACAAGTTGATTTTTGTTTGTGATGCCAGGCCTAGAAGTTAATTGCAGGTTAGTTCTTGATCAAAAGATTCTGCAGACACTCTGACATCAGGGGAGGGCAGTATGTCTAAAAAGACAGAAGATATTGGCATTAATGAGTTCAGTACCTGAGGCTTGGTTTCAGTAAGTCTGGTAGAGACCTTATGCTCAAGCAAATGGTAGATTGTACGATGGACAAAACCTCATGGGGAGACAGTTAGTCTGACAGGGAAAGGCCACAATTTTGAACTGGGTTTTGGACTATTTTCTGTGAGAAAGAGTTTGTATGTTGATGAAACAGCATGGATATTTGAAAGCTCCCTGCCTAACCTCCCATTGTCAGTTACTGGAAGTTCAGAGAACAGAAACTCAGTGTTAAGTATAAACTAACTTCCTCTAAGTGAAGTGAAAATGTGACGCTGATCAACATCTTCAGAAAACCAACAAAGAAATAATCATATATGCCTGTGAAACAATGCATCATAAAAACCGCTTAAATAATTTGGCCAGTTTTCTTTTACTTACCTCCTAACTGTGTCTATTTGTCTGGCTGTCTTTTGTGTGAATGTGGTTGTAAACAAAGGTTATTGAGTCTAAATCACCGACATTAATTAGATTACTTTGTTTAACTTTGCTCTGTTGAAATTACTGTATCACTAATAAGTTGCTTAGTCTTTTTTTTAAGCTACAAACCAGTATCTAAAATTGATTATTCACAGAGTTTGGGAATGGTTACTCAAAGTCTGGTTAGGAACCACTGGGATCAATTTTGACGGTCTTAGAAGCTTTTAGTTTTACGGTCTTACGAATACAGAGTTAGAAGTCTAATTTGGTCAGCTGTCTGTCTTTGTGTCATAACAATAATATCAGAACACTTTCATCAAAATCATGAATGCTATCCAATATGACTGTGTGTGACAAAGGTATACTCTTACTCCCCTAGTTGTGTCTGTAGACTTTAAAACAGTCAACCACATCATCCTCTTCTAATGTTTCTTCATTGTCACCAAGCTGGATGGGACTGGACTCACCTAATTCAAATCTTCTCGACCTAGTCATAGTCAGCTTACCACATACAAAGGCTTCTTTCCCTACTCCCTCTGATATTATATCTGGTGTTCCCCAAGGATCTATCCTTCGCTCCCTTCTGTTCCTCATTTACATGCTGTGCCTCAGCAACTTTATCCAAAAGCAGAGAGCTACTTTTACATGTAGACTGACAACACCTTGGTCCATCTCAGCAACACCACCCCAACCACTAAATTTCCCTTGCTCCACAACATTTATCTGAGACTGACTCACAACCACGGAGTTGTTTTGGGCACAAAGATGAGCTTCCGACCATATATCGCACAACCATCAGGATCATCTAATTCCACCTCTGTAAAATCAGACAACACCCCATCTCAGTTCATTTGGTGCTAAAACCCTCTTCCATTCCTTTGTTACCTGTAGACTTGACTATTCAATACACATCTGGCTAGCCTCCCACATTCTAGAATCATTGAATCCCTACAGTGTGGAAAGAGACTATTCAGTCCATCGAATCTGCATCCTACCCTATCCCTGTAACCCTGCATTTTCCACGGCTAAGCCACTCAGTCAGCACATCCCTGCACACTACAGAGTGATTTAGCATGGCAAATCCACTTAATCTGCACATCTGTGGACTGTGGGAGGAAACTGGAGCACCCGGCGTAAAGTCACAGACATGGGAGAACGTGCAAACTCCACACAGTCACCCACGGCTGAAGCCAACCTGTGGTCCCTGGTGCTGTGAGGGACTGACCCCATGCCACCCCTTCAAAAACTTGACATCCAAGTTCTGTTTGCTCATTATCCTTACTGCTCCTCACTAGCTCATTTTTATGGAATAGCCCATTTTAAAATTTTCTTCATTATTTCAAATTAGTTCTACCAAGTCTTCCTGCAACTGTCTGATTGTTTATACAAAGCCTTGGGGTGTTCCTTGATCCTGTCTGCCAGATATTCTGTGGCCTCTCTTTGCCCTCCTAATTATTTTTTTAAACAACCCTTCCACTCTGTATATTTTTGAAGGGCTTTCTCTATTTTTAATGTGCTGTACCTGACGTATGCTTCCTTCTTTTTCTTTATCAATTCATCTCAGTATTTCAAGGAATGGAGGAATATGGACCAAAGGCAAGCAGAAGGAATTAGTTTAATTTGGTGTCACATTTGGCACAACATCATGGCCGAAGGGCCTGTTCCTGTGTTTTATGTTCTATTTTTGGCATTGCTAAAACCAATGTATTAAGCTTCTTGGCCTTTAATGCTAAGACCCATTGATGTTTCAGTAAACCTTTCTCATCATATTAGTTGAAAGGGATCAAATACTTTTCTGACAATCAGCATGACAAGCATTTTTATTTTAGTACGTAAATCACCACAGAAAATGCTTCTGCTCAAACTTTGTTATGCTTACAACTTAACCACAAGTTAGCAAGACGTACACTCGGACAACAGACCATTTGGTGACATGCATTTTTTTTGAAGTTGTACAGACACCTGAAAATATATTGAAAACAGCAGAGGTTCACAGCACTTCACCCAAAGGAACACCACTGCATATCTCTGAAGAGCAGGCATTTACTGCAAAATCTCCTTCCCATGCTCTAGGCAATTCCCTACTGGTTTTAATTTTACAAATAATTCTAATTCATGTTACTTCATCAAATGCCTTTTGCAAGTCCCACTGCCTTACCTACCCACTCCATTATCTCAGCAAAAATCAGAGTTTACCCTTATATCAAATTGGACTTGAAACATTAACTCTGTTCTCTCTCCACAGATGTTTCCAGACTGCTGAGTTTCTGCAGCATCTTTTTCATAATCTTTAATAAATCTTTGCTCTTTTTCCATTTTTAGTTCTTGCTTGTTCAAGTGACTGTTAATTTTTTCCTGGATTATTGCTTTTAAAATATTTCCCACAGTCGATGTTAAGCTGACTGGTCTGTAACCATGACATTTATTTATCCCCATTTTTGTTAAGTCTTGAGGGTGTATTATTATTTAATTATTATTATAATATACATTTATAATCCTCCAGTCCTTAGAACCATCCTAGTATCCAATGTTCAACATCCCTGGAATTTCTACCCACACTTCCCTTAGTGTCCTTGGATGTATCTTATCTGTAGCTAGTAGTTTACCAGTTGAAGTGCCATCAGTTTTTCTCAAAACTTCTCTTTTATCCATTATTACTTCATCCAGTAACCTCACACTGCCTCATCTGCTTTAGCTTTGGCAAAGTCCTTTTATTGAGTAAGCAATAGTACACAACAGACTCCGGACCTGAATCTATCGTGTAAGTGTGCGTTGTCTCTTCAGGAGAAGACAGAAGCCTTAAAAGAAGTACACTTAGCTCAATCCATAGAAACAACCTATTTGGCAAACCAATTCATGTTAGTATTTACCATCCATATTTCTGTTTCCAAATTCCATTCCAGATTTCAAATCGCATCAACTTATTTTCATTTATCCAAAAAATCTAATCCTGGATGCTGAATTTCTACCTCAATCACTAAGCTTGGAAGTGAATTTGAAAAGCTCACAACTTTGCGTGAGAAGATTCTTCTGTCATCTGTTTCAAACATCTCACATTTAATCTAGCATTCATGGCCCCTCATTTCAAACCCTCAATGAGTTCAACCAAACTCCTTTCATTCATCCTGTGGTCATGATTTACGACACTTTATTTAGGCCCACATTTCACGTTGGTTTTAGTATTTCATACTTTCCATTTTCTGAGGAAAAAGTTAAGGTTCAACATTACCTCTTCACTTTGCCACTCTTTAATGAATTACCATTTGGTAGTTTGTAATCTAAGTAATGGTGTGACAGAAGGTTTGTTCTATCACAAGGTCAAATAAATCAGATGGGATTATATAATACATACTTTAAAAAAAATAAAAGTGACAAAGACCTCTTGTTTCAAACAGAAATCCTGATCTAACACTATTTTGCTTCAGTGAAAAACACGTGTCCCTATCTGATTTGTCCAAATACGGAGGAGGTTTCTCTGGATTGACTGCCATGTGAATGATCTTTGCCAATGAACACAGCAACAATATCTGAAAACGGTGTCCAAAACTTAACAGCAGTGATAAAAAATGGTTACAACTGGAACAGTATTTGCATTGCAAAGGGATATGCAATGTTCTCATTTAAAGTTATTCAGTGCTTAGAAATATCTGAGATAAGTGTTGACAAGATGCTGCAATTACTGAATTGGTCACAGAGCAAAGACCTTTTATGCTCATTAGGTAAAAATATTGAAACTAGAGGCAAAAGAAATGGAGTGCTGATGTGCACTTGGTTTGGTCCTGAAGGAACTTTGTTTGCTAGGCGAGGGAATCTAGCACACAGAACAGTAAGGAATAATTGTATCAAACATAGTCTATTACCAAATTTTGTCACATTACTGAAACCGGTAAAAACAATGAGAACTGTCATTCCTGAGTCACACACATTATGCAAGAGTGGCACAGGTTTACTCAATCTCTGGATTATTGATTGGTTGAGTTCCTGTTTGATTTTATGACTGAGATTGGGAATCATGTTAGCAAACATAAATGCAAACCTACTTGCAACAATAAGATTTCAACAGTTAGTGAAGACACAATTTTAGTTGCAGAAAATAGCACACAACGGGGGACTGATATCAGGGAATGGCCCGACATAATCACATTAGAGGAGTATTAGAAACTCATTAGAAAGGTCAGGTCTAGCCTGTACACAAGTTCATTGTAAAAGCCAATTTGACAAATATAAGGCTTCTACTAGAATTTGCTTGTTGAACCAGACATCTCACCTTTGTGTGACTGGTTCGCTAACAATAACATCAGGCACTTCATATCTCGGCTTCATCGGCTTCAATTCGTTCACTTTTATCCTGATTACATGATTCTCAAGGGCAAAGACCTCCAAAAGGAGTGAAACCTGAAAAATAGTTTACAACTTTAATCACCCAGCACTGCCATTACAACTCAAAATAAATTCTTAATGAAGGTATTAACAGTTCCTAACGTATAAAAAATTTAAGTCTGCCAAGGCTTCTGGTTTCTAATCCTGACGTCTGTGCCCATTTAATTCAATGTTTGTGATATTGCAGAAGTAACATTCAACTTAGGCAATAATGTTGCAGACTGGATTGCCCACTCTGTGTACAACCAGTCTACATCTCATTGACTAACAGCACCTTATCTACCACCTTAAGCATTCACTTCTTCCACCACTGACAGCTACAGCATGTGTGTACCATTGACAAAATTCACTGCAGCAGATCACAACAGCTCCTTCCAAATGTGCAACCTCCATTGCCTGGAAGGCCAAGAGCAGGTGATTGATGGGAACACCACCATCAGTAAGTTCTTCTCCAAGTCAAATTCTGTCCTCACTTGAAACTGTATTGCTATGCTTTCAGTTTCTTGGCCATGATCCTGGAATTCCCTTCCTAGTAGCACTGCAGATGTCCCTACACCTTAAGGTTTGCCACCACCTTCCTCAGGGCAACAAATGTTGATGCAACCAGTGAAGCCCACATCCATGAATAAATGTTCCAAAAAAGACCTCGTCAGTAATGGTGCTACCAAGTCACTCTTCGTGATGGACCTCAACCACAGTATATTCAATGCCCTTGTCAACCTCTGGTGAAGATAGAGGGGGGCAGAATGGATGGATATAGGTGGCAACCAGCAGATTTCCTTGCCAAACCTTGTTCTGATGACACTCGCAATGTTGAGAACTCTCACAGTGACTCCTTCATAATTGTATACAACTTTGCCACCACCTCTAGCCCTACTGCTAGCCCAGTGGGACAGCACATGTTTGGGTCACTGTCTTTTAAGTATTATATGGTGAGTCAACCTATTGCTTGACTGTTTTCTCAGTTTTGGCAAAACAAACTTTAGTTGTTTGTAAGATTAACAGGGTTGGATTTTGATGTTGTCATTTATCATATCAAGATCATTACTATGTGATCTGTTTAGTTTTAATTGCTTTCAGACATCATGGAGGCTTGGTATAACTGAGTGGCTTGCTAGGCCTATTCAGAGGACAGTTAAGAGTCAACCACTTTGTTCCTGGTTTAAAGTCACACATAAGAAGAATCATATGTGCTGAGAATTATTTTTGTGTTCTGGACATGATTGGTCCTTGGTGTCAAATGTTATCAATTAGACTAATGATGGAGTCGATTGGTCCCTTTTGTCATGTTTTTAATACAGGTCAGTCAGCAACGTTAAACACTCGGCCATTGAAGTCCACGTAAGGATGGCAGATTTCCTTCTGTAAATTACATTAGTGAACAGATGGGTTTTATGACACTTGACAATAGTTTCATGGTCATTATTGCTGAGGCTAGCATTTCATCTGAAACGTATTAATTTAATATAATTCTACGAGCTGCCATGGTGGGAAATGGACCTCTGTCTCAGAGCATTAGCCAGGGCCTCTAGACTACCAGTCCAATGACATAATCACAGTGCCACCACCTCTCATGTGGTCCTTTCCCCTATTCACACCATTAACATTTTATGCATTTAATCCATTGCCTCTCATCTGCCATGGCAGTCTCCCATTGTTATCCTCTGCTCCACAGCTCCCCTTCAAAGATTACTTCACATCTTTTCACTCTGGACCCACTTCCTCTCACTTACCAAAATCAATGGATGGAAAATTACAGGCAACAATCTCAAACATTTCTGACATGAAATGGTATTAGCTGCAGATACCTTTACCCAGTATGTATTTTGAAAATGACCATTTTAAAGTTCATATCAAAGGGCTTAGAAGGCCTTTGACTGATCAGATAAAAGTACCATGGATCTGTAAAGGGAAGTCCACACTAGATTAACTTATTTGATTTTTGAAGAAACTGCTGTGTCTAAGAGGAACGCAATGGAATTTGTTCAGATTTTCAGAAGTTTTTGATAGGATCGTAAGGCTCAGAGAGCCTCAGAATGATGGTAAGTAGATGCTTATTTAATGTATAAGCTATCAGTAAAGACGTGTACAAGGGATCTGGTTCATTTCAATAAGTGATTTGGACATAATAACAAGGAGATAAATGTTGAAGTTTGCTGATGATTTTAAGTTAGGAGGAGGTGACAAATTGCAGGACGTAGACAAATTAGCATGAGAAGATGGGTGGCAAATGCAGTTTACAAACCTCTCCAGGATTTCTACTCTCCTCCATTTCTGGTCTCTTGCACATTCCTAATTTTAATCACTCCACTACATGTAACCATGCCTACAGCTGAGACCCTAAGCTCTGGAATTCCCTCTCTAAACTTCATCAGGGCTCTGGTGAAGAATCATCTAGTCTTGAAACGTAGATTGCTTTCTGTCCATGGATACTGCCTGACCGGCTGTGACCTCCAGCATTTTTTGTTTTCAGTACTGAATCCCAATGTGGTTTTAGAATTAGAAGACCTACAACTGCAAAGAACTTCTCAGTATGGCAGTTACAAGAGATTTTTCCTGAGCAATGTAGACCCACTGTACGCTGTTTTCACTGATTCACCAAGCAATCAACCATGTGAACAGAAGCAGTTAACTTAAGGTCCCCAACAAATTGACTGGCATCAAAGTTGCTCAATATGATTTCCTGTTGCCAAGATAAGATAATGGATAATGTCAGTGATAATGGGGCAACATCACAAGCCTCGGAGATCCACAGTGCGGTCAAACAGGGTTGTGTTCTAACACTGCCACTTGTATATTCTTCTGTTTGCTACTGACCTATACTTTCAGAGCATTTACAGAGAGTGTCTACTTAGATACTGGAACTGATGGAAAACTGCTCAGCCTTGGTCATCAGTGAACCAAGACAAAAGTGCCTCAAATCTGTTAGTTGCTCGCTGCTGACAATGCTGCAATAGCATTCCATACCAAGAAACACCTTCAGCAGTAAACAGACAGACTCTCACACCTCTAAGGTGTTTGGTTTGACCATCAACATTAGGGGGACAAAGATATGATCCAGCACATTGTCATACCACCACCTATCAGCACTGACTACATGACCCTGGAAGTTCTTCACAGCTTTATGCATCCACGCTGCGTCTATGAGCCATCAATCTATCAACTTGAAAAGGTTAGTTACAGGGGATGGGTCTGGGTGGGATGCTCTGAGGGTCAGTGTGGGCTTGTTGGGCCGAAGGGCCTGTTTCAACACTGTAGGGATGCTGTAACAAATATATACATCACAAACACTGCAGCTGTTATGTCCAGGCTGACTAAAAGTGTGGAACAGCAGCAACCTGACACCAAACTGCAAATCACCTCAGCCTACGTCCTCAGTAGTGTAGGAGTGAGACGTGGAGAACATGGGCCAGGCAAGAGAAAAGGCCAAATACTTTCCACGTTCACTGTCTCAGAAGTATCTTCAAGATCTTTTGGCAGGACAAAATCATCGGCACTAAGGTCCTGAAGCATGCTAAGTCCATGAGCATATACATTTTGCAAAGGCACCGTTATTTGCACTGGCTCAATCACCTTCATCAGATTGATGAGCACGAAATTCCATGTTTCGGGCTGAAAACCTTTGTCAGGACTTACAAAGGGTTTCGGCCTAAAATATTTACTTTCCTGCTCCTCTGACGCTGTCTGACCTGCTATGCTTTTCCAGCTTCACACCTATAGATTCTGGCTTCCATCTTCTGCAGTCCATATTGTATCCTTCATCAGACTGATGATACCTATGTACACAAAGATATTCTGTACAACGAACAAGCCTCAATGTCATAATCTCCTCAGCGTCCATACCTCCGCTACAAGAGCATCTGAAAGCAAGATATGGAAATGGGGGACATTGGCAATTAATACTGGGGCACAGTTGCTGACAGCTGTGACTTGTGGAGACTTATTGCTTAGAAATACATTACAAGAGTTCAGTAAAAATGAATAGCTCAAATAGCTGAGAGGGCCCAGAGTAGATAGAAGTCAGTTATTATGTACCTTTCTTGCTTACTGTCTTCCTCTGTAGCACATGACAAAGATTGCCACGCGAAAATGGGGTTTCTCAGTCAAACCAGGTGATAGCTAATACAGGACTCACTGTAATATATTACAAACCATCGTCTATGAGACGGAAGCCTGTTACCAACAGTCTCTGTGATACGTTGGAATGTATCATAACCTAAGTAACATTGCAAATGTAACATGCTGTGGGGAGGCAGTGGTGCAGCGGTAATGTTATTAGACTAGTAATCCAAAGACTCAGGCTTATAGAGACACAGGTCAAATTGCACCAGAGTATTTAAGTGGAATTAACAAATCAGAAACATAAAGTTAGTCTCAGTAATGGTACTACAAAACTACCAGTGATTGTTGTAAAAAATCCATTCTGTCGCTGATGTCCCTCAGGAATGGAAATCTGCTATCCTTATTCTGCCTAGCCTACATGTGATTCCAGATCTACAGTAATGCGACTGGTTCCTAACTGCCCTCTGAAATGGTTGAGTAAGCCAGGCAATTCATGGGCAGTTAGGATGGGCAACAAATTCAGGTCTTGCTAGCAACATCAACAGCCCATGAAAGAATGAAAAAAACCTAAACATTGTGTCATTTTGAAACTAACCTCAGCAAGTTTATTATTCTGCATTTAAAATATTTGCAACATTGCAGCATTATTGGACCTGAGATCATTAAGTGATTAAAACAAAATTACTGTGACTTTGTTAACCTTATTCTCTTCATTAAGCAGCTGTAGTGTGGCTTTGCAGCTTGACAGTTTGAGAGTATCCAGCAAGGCATGATATGGAGAATTTCCTGGCAACAACCTCTTCTGACGCCTGAAGGGATAGGAAAATAAATGAGGAAAATAAATGGAAAAAATATATAAGAACTATGAATTTATCCAGAAGCAAGTCAGCTTTCCATAGTGCTGATCACAGATTCAACTCCACTTGACCAGTGTGGGCTTGATGCAGACACACAAGCGTTCATTAGAGTAAAAAATATCCTACTGACATTTGTTGAATAAAAATAAAGTAAATAAACAGAAAGTACCGGAGAAACTCAACAGGTCTCTTCCAAAGAAGTCATATTGGCTTCAAAACAAGAACTATGTTTCTCTTACTGAGTTTTTCTATTTTCTGAGATTCTCAAATATAAACTTGGCTTACATTTCTGATAATCCTTACCTGAAGGAGCAGCCCACCCTCTCTCATTTGAGTCACAAAGTTCAAGTCCCCCTCCAACTACATCATCTGTAGAAATAACAGTAACATGCTATCTTAATTAATTTTCCAATCCTGAGTCCATCCCATACTGGAAATTGGCTGATCCCACAGTTAAAGCTGTATATTGTTTGTTTACATACTTTGGGTACCAGCCTGTTGTGGTGCATCACCTCAATTGTGCATATCTATTCAAATATTGTGGTACATGCAACATTTTAATGTTGGTACATAGAAAGAGGATTTTTGCTATGAGTTCCACATCCTGTGATAGTTAACCTAGATACTGGGCAGTAGAAGATTATTCAAGGATAAAAGTTCCACCTACAAGAGAAGCTGATGATGTCAATCTGGAGAGTTTCTGATGTCAAAGCTTGGCAGCTTTTTTAAAATCCATTGCTATCAGAAACAGCGTTTGCCTTGAAGAGCATAAAATCTTAATTAGAATGAACAGATTACTGAGCTGATGGCATCCAATAACAGAGATATACCTGTAGAATGCAATGTCCCCAGTTGTCTTGAATTTGTTGCTCTCAACTTCCGCAAGTGCACTATCAGGGGTAGAAGAAAAGAGAATTTAGTCTTGTTAGTGCTTCTATATTCAAAGTACTTTAAGGAATGCAGTTTCCTCTATATTTAGGAGACCAAATGCAGATTGGGCAACCGACTTGCAGAACACCTTCATTTATATCCAAGCATGGCCCCAAGCTTCTGTTGCTTGCTATTTTAATTCATCACTTTGTTCTCATGCCTACATTTCAGTCCTCATTATAGCATTCCAGTGAACTGAACTCATGCTTGAGTAACGAGCTCTCTCATTTAGGCACTTTACAGACTTCTAGACTTAAGACTGAGTTCAACAATCAGACCATGAACTCTGTTCCCCATTTTGACTCTGTTATTTTGTCATGACTTGGATTGAATGTTGTTCTTTATGGTTTTACTGTCAAACAGAACTGTTAATTATTCTGGCATTTATGCGCACCCTGGACAAATGCTCAGTGAGTTTCCTACAATTGTTACCACTCCTTTTTCCTTTTGTTCTGTGACTCATAGAATCATACATTTCAGAAGAGGCCTCTCAGTCCATTGAGTTTGTACTGCCAAAAATACACTAAAACTACACTTTCCAGCACTAGGCCCATAACCTGAATATTATGAAACTTCAAGTGCTCATTGAAGTACATTTTTAAATGTTGTGAGGTTTCCCACCTCAACTACCCACCCAGGCAGTGTATTCCCAACCTCTACCACCCTCTGGGTGAAAAACATTCTGCTCAAATCCCATCTAATCCTCCATTTTTCATCTTAAAATCATACCCCCTTGCATTTGACTCTTCAACTAAGGGAAACAGCTGCTTTCTATCCACCCTGTCAATGTCCCTCATAATCCTATATACCTCTATCAGGTTCACCCATCAACCTCTCTGCTTCAAAGAAAACAAACTACGCTTATTCAGCCTCTTTGTAGTTGAGATGCTCCATGCTAGGTAACATCCTAGCGACTTTCCTCCATACCCACTCCAATGAAATCTCATCTTTCCTATAGTGTGGTGACCAGAAGTGCACACACAACTACAGCTGTGGGCTAGCCAAATTCCTGTATAGTTCCAAAATAACCTCCCAGGTCTTATAATCTATGCCTCGACTATTAAGGCATCCTGTATACTTCAACTACCCTATCAACCTGCCTGCTGCCTCAAGGATCTGTGGACAAGCAACCCAAGATGCCTTTGTTCCTCTGAGCTTCTGAGTGTCCTGCCATTCATTGAACATTCTTTTGTCTTGTTAGTTCTTCCAAAGTGCATTACCTCACGCTGCTCAGGGTTAAGTTCCACCTGCCAGTGATCTGCCCATTTGATCAATCTGTCTATAACCTCTTGTAAACTAAGACCTTCTTCCATACTTTTAAACATCCAGTTAACTTTAGTGTCATCTGCAAACTTACTTATCATTAACTCCACATTCTCATCAACAATTTGTATACAATAAGTAACGGATTCAGAACTGATCACTGTGGTACACCACTGGACTCCAAGTTTCATACAAATAGTCTTCTACCATCACCATCTGTCTTCTAGCAATCATCCAATTTTGGATCCAACATGCCATGTTACCCTCGATCGAAGGAAAATTTACCTTCCTAATAAGTCTATCACGTGGGACTTTGTCAACAGTCTTACTGAAATCCATATAAACTACATCAACTGCTCTACCCTCATCAAAACACTTGGTCACCTCCTTCAAAAGTTCAACCAGTTGTTAGGGAAGACCTCCCTCTGATAAAGTTATGCCTTGCCTCGCTATCTTGCCTTAGATATTTAACCTCTCCTGCTTTCTAACTTATCGCAGAACTCCCTTTCACTCTTACCCATATCCCTGCTCCAACTGCATATAGCTCATCTCAGTTCCACCCTTCTTCAGTTTTGAAGAAGTCGATTGGACTAAAAGCATTAATGTCTTTGTCTCTCCACAGATGTTGCCAGACCTGCTGAGTATTTTCAGAATGTCTGTTTTTATTTCAGATTCATTCCCCATATGACCCCATTGCGCTATAACTACACATATGACCACATGTGGTTTTATGGTCCTTTGGAAATTTTGTTCAGTTTATTCTTTGAAAATATATGTCATTGCTGCAATGAGGTTTTGCTTGCAATTTTTAACACAACTTTTTTTTCCTCCCAAGACATCTCCAATTTTATTCCAATCTTCTCTCTCTCTCTCTCCAAAGCTGCCTTCTCCTGCCTACTCTACCCTCCATCCCCTGGTATTCTCACACTCCACCATCTCTCTTCCTAGTTCCAAATTATCCTTTCGAAACCAACATCACATAAAACCTGCACTTGACAATGACTTCCAATGTGCATCATTGGATAAAAATAGTTCAATACTGCAGAGGAAAATTCTTTTGTCTATACACGTCCTGTTAACTTTGTCCATTATAATTCCCTTCATCCACATTTCCGGTGAAAATGTCCTATGAAAACTTGTCACACAGGTAATTATATCTCTTTCCCAGTGTAGACTCTACAATGAAAGTAGAAATAAACACCTGTAGATTGGTCTCGAAATTCTAATAATGAATAGCTAATTCAAAGTCAGGCATAACTTATCATTCATAACCACAATCTCGCTTCTCTGGTGTATCAATGGAAAAGTACGAGAATGCAAATCCCCAAAGAAACTATTTTAGGACTATGAAAGTTTGTGAAATGTGTTTTCTTTTTGGTGTAAAGCAATAAAAAGTGTGATACCTTCAATTTGTTTCTTCTTGTTTATGTTCATCTTTTTACAATTGCTGCTACACTATAAACTGTAATTTTCTTCAATAATAAAAAATAATGGCCCACATCACTTGGCGACCCTTGATCTGGAAGCAGTATCAAAGAGAACAAAGTTAACATACAAAGGCCTAGTGGCTGGCAGACACAAAGGATGACTGCTTCAAAGAAAAGTTGAATAGGGAAGAACAGAGAAGGGACATTTACAACGAGCTGATGTGTAATGCAGTTTTTAAAAATCTGAAGACAGAGTTAGTGCAAAGATTATAAACTGGTCAATTCTAAGCTTTAATTCAACTTTGACACAGCTGACCAGATTGTTTAATGAGAAAACTTAATGGAATCAGACAAAGGAATCTCTGGGTAATCTGTGTCATTAAGTTTGGTGTGAAGCCAGTTAAAGAGGTTCTGCAGGAGTCTTGTTTGGATGATGACTGTCTCCAGAGCACTCATATGGAGTGGAGTTACCAGTGCAGATAACTCAAGGTCCAAATCCATTGAGTGAGAAAAGAAACAGATCCTATGTTCCGGAGACCAAGTTTGAAAGACAGATTGCATGTGGTGTCACATTTGTGAGAGGACAAATGCTTTAAATCCTGTGACATTGTCTTTGTTCTATCTGCTATTCCACGTGTACTTTACAGCATGTGTCAGCAATAATTTGCCTGTAAATACATGAATAACTTAATTGGATTATGATTTGTGTTAAAGTAAAAAGGCTACAAAAAGCTGAATATTGTTGGTAATTTTTTCATAGTGAGAATCATTTAATAAATTTGAATATTTTGGCTTATGGTTTCCCCACAGGGAACGCAGCAACATTCGGTATTTAAAGAAACCTGTTCAGAAACATGGCCAAAGTCTGGAGAAACTATACAATAACTCAGATCTGAATACAGGTTGTGGAGGAAAATGCTAAACTTTATATTATTAATGTAAAAGTTATGTTTAATTACACAAAATACAATGAAAATATTCTGATAAATAAATAATGCAAATTTGAAACACTTGGTAGATGAAGTTTAATGTAGTAAAGTGTGAGGTCCTGTGCTTTGATAGGAAGAATCAAAAAGCAGATCATTACTTAAATGGAGACAAACTGCAAAAAGAAAACAGTGCAGAAAGATCTGGGTGCTCTTGTACATGAAACACAAAACATTAGTATGCTGGTGCAGCAAGTAATTAAGAAGGCAAATAGAATGTCCTTTGTTGCTAGGGGTTTAGAGTTTAAAAATAGGGAAGTCTTGTTACAACTGTACAGGGTATTGATGAGTCCACACTTTAAGTATTCTTATGCAGTTTTCGTCCCCATATTTAAGAAAGGGGGATGGAAGCAGTTCAAAATAGATTCACGAGATTGATTGCTGGGATGAAAAAGTTAGCTTTTCAAGAACTAAACAGGTTAGGTCTTTATTTGTTAGAGTTAAAAGAGTGAGGATTGATCCTAATGATACATAAAAGATTTGGAAGGTAGCTTGGCATGGAGATATTAAGAAAATGCTCCCATTAGTTGGAAAACCTCAAATAGGGGGTATTGTTAGAGGGGAGACGTATTTAAAACTGATATGCAAAGAATTTCTTCTCCCAGAGGGTAATGATTGTTTGGAACCATCTCCCACAGGGAATTGTTGAGGTTAGATGACCGAAATTATTTATGAAGGGGGTAGATAGATTTTGAAAATATCAGTAAGTTGAAGGTTATGAGGAGCTAACACGAGAGGGATTTGACAGGGACAGATCAGCCATGATCTTACTGAATCGTGGATGAAGCTTGGGAGTCGTGAATGGCCTACTTCTGGTTCCATTTCTTGTGTTTTTAAGTTCACAGTTGCCTCTATAGTCCTCTAATCCACCATTTTTCATAATCCACTTACACTCTCTCATCTGCCATCTTTCCAATGTGTATTTATCTATTTCAAAATCAGTAGCTCCTCTCCTCAATTTATCTAATATATGACGATCACTGGCTGCTATGTAGTTTTGAGGTCTCTTTCCTTGCTTTAAGTCAACCATCTTTATTTGTGAAAAATTTCAGCTGAACGAAATACTCACACCTAATCATCTGGCCATAAGTAATTCCATCATCTAAGTAACAAAGTTAATTGCTTTGTCAGAAACATACGAACTGTCATTCATTTTGATCCTTAGTCAGGGGGGCAACTTCCATATTCGCTGTTAATAAAATGTCTATAAAATCAAGGCAGGAATTTCAGTTTACATGATGCCATGTGCCATCACACTTTATGTAACTACTTAGTTCCCCTGCCTTTCTGTTTTAGAATTCATTAACTTGTCAAGTTTTCCAAGGACTGATTTCTACCCACTTTTGTTAGATTAGCATCTTACAAATTCTACCACCTAGAAGCACAAGTGCAGCAGATACATGGGAACACCATCACTTCCAAGCCATTCACCCTCCTGACTAGGAAATATATCACCATTCCTTCACCGTTGTTGGGTAAAAATCTAGGAACTCACTTCCTTACAGCACTACGGGTGTACCTACCACACAACCACCCAGCCGTGAATGGACAGCAGTGGCTAAAGAAGGCTGCTTACCACTACCCTGATAAAGGCAATTAGGAATGGGCAATAAATGCTGACCTAGCCTAAAATGCCCACATCTAATGTTAGAGTTTTGAAAATATAACCTAGTTATGACTGTAGCTGTAAAGAGAGATATTAGGAGTGTTAAAAATAGAACTTAGTTACAAAGCAAAATGAATAAGTAACAGCTAATCCAAATAAATGATCTACACTCAGTCAGCTTACAGATGTTACATAGTCTTTAACTATACCTGGTCTCCTCGGTATTTTGAATATTGAACTCCATCTTATGTTTGTTCTTTGCTTGAAAAGTCTTCCTCCTGTGTTGCTGGGCTGTCACTATTGAGCGTTTGAACAGGTGGTCTCTTTACTAGGAGGCTTATTTTTCTAACGCTCCACTGAGTACTCACAGGCTTCTCTTCTCTTGGCTTTGACTTCCTCCACCCATCACAAAAGAGCTTTCCGGGAAATGTAGGCTGAATTTAGTTGGCCGCAATTTAAGAAACAAGTGTTATTCAGGTCTTCAGGGAACATAATACAATTTATGCTATTTCAGCTGTTTATAACTTAATAATAATACCAGTGATTAGCAGTTATATGTCGAAGTAGAGATAGGTTGGAATATGGAGGTGGAATTTCTCTACACCATTTCTATTTATCAGTTCCTTTTTTAAAAATGAATTTTTACACTTAAAACAGGGGGTATCAACACTATATAGGGTCTTTTTGACTTCAAATATCAAGCATCCACAAATCATATAAAGAATATCAATGGCACAGCAAAACTCTTTCTAGTCTACCCGAGTCTTGAATTTCAAATCCATATTCCATGTTAGAACAATTCAACCAGTCTTCTTTTTTTCATATTAGTTATGTTCATTCCTTGGTGTCAGATTCTGGTCAGACCAAAATATTAACAATTCCCCACTGGCAATTGGGCTCAGGTTATCCAAGGTTACATCATTTAGATATAAATGGTAAGTAGTTAACTTAAAGGTGGTGGCAGTGTGACAGGATAGGAAGTGGTTAGCTCTTTGCCCATACACTCCCGGGTACCTGGGCTGGCCGCATACTTCTTCGTTCTTTTCTTTTGTTTCTTCATTTCTCTTTTGTTCTTACCTGCAGCCGTGGTGGAGGAAGGCATTGTGAGGGCCTGCTGCAGCAGCATAGTGGATCTGGAGGTCCATTCCTCATTGCCATAGTGGCTTTATCAAAGACTTCACCTGGTGGGTCCGGTCTGTTCCTCCTGGTGGTGAGGTGGTTTCAGCGGTGGCAGCACGGTGGTTCTAGTTCACTCCTCGTGGCTATGGTGGCAATGTGGCGACTTCAGACAGCGCCTGAAGTGGTGACGGCTTCAGCGTCAGTGACTTGGTCCGGTTTGTCCCTCCTTGCTATGGTGACATTGCAGTAGCTTCGGTGTTAACTTTGGTGATGGCAGTGTGGTAGCTCTGGTCCAGAAATTCTTGCTTTGGCGTCATCAGGAGCGGCTTCAGCAGCAGCATCTCATAGCCATTCCATACATTAGATTGCCGTGGGGAAACAAAACAAGAACTTTGTCCTAACTTTGTCTCAATTATGTCTTTTTATGATCTCTGTAATTAAAATGACGCTGAATTGTGGTGATTTATACACATCTTACTGTATATTCATAAATGCAAGTGACAATAGATTGCTATTCTATTCTATACAACAGGTAGACCCACCTGTGAAAACAGATAAAAAGAACCCATTTGTGTTTGAATCAGCAACAAGTTGCATTCATATATAATGTGCTTAGCATAATAAAAACATCATCGACTTCATAAAGAAAGAAGAAGAACATGCCCCATCTACATTAGCGGAACTGTGGTTGAGAGAGTGAAGAACGTCAAGTTCCTCAGAGTGACGATAACTGACGACTTGTCCTGGACTTCCCATGTAAATGTGACAGTCGAGAAGGCACAACAATGCCTCTTCTTCCTCAGGCGGCTCAGGAAATTTGGCATGTCTATCAGGTCCCTCACCAACTTCTGCAGACACACCATGCTGTCCTGGTGCACAATGGCCAGATGTGGCCCAGGACCGTAAGAAACTACAGAAGGTGGTGTGCACAGCCCAGACCATCACAGAAGCTTCAATCCATGGACTCTATTTACATAGCTCGTTACCGCGGAAAGACAGCCAAAATCATCAAAGACACATCACACTTTAATATTGACCTCCTACAACTCTTCCATCAGGCAGTAAGACACAGAAGCCTGAACACGTGCACGAGCAGGTTCACGCTGTTATCAGACTGTTGAATGGCCTCTAGCCTCAAATAATGTAACCTGTATGCCTCTAAGTCTTTTTGATCTGTACATCCTTTGCTTGCTGTGATCTGCCTGTACCGCTCGTAAACAAAGCTTTTCACTGTATTTCGGTACACATGACAATAAATAAATGAATCAATCAACATCCCAAGGCAATTAAGAGCTAAATTATGTGACTAAGCCACAAAGGAAAAGTGAGATTAGATCACTAAAAGCTTGGACCAGGCTAAGCTCTTAAGGAGAGGTAGAGTTAAAGGCATTCCAGAACATAATAACAGCCACCAGAATGGGAGATTTTCAAACATAGAACATAGAACATTACAGCGCAGTACAGGCCCTTCGGCCCTCGATGTTGCGCCAACCTGTGAAACCAATCTGAAGCCCATTTAACCTAAACTATTCCATTATCATCCATATGTTTATCCAATGACCATTTAAATGCCCTTAAAGTGGGCGAGTCTACTATTTTTGCAGGCAGGGCATTCCACGCCCTTACTACTCTCTGAGTAAAGAACCTACCTCTGACATCTGTCCTATATCTATCACCCCTCAATTTAAAGCTATGTCCCCTCGTGCTAGCCATCACCATCCTCTGATCATCTTGTATGTCTCTATCAAGTCACCTCTTAACCTTCTTCTCTCTAACGAAAACAGCCTCAAGACCCTCAGCCTTTCCTCATAAGACCTTCCCTCCATACCAGGCAACATCCTGGTAAATCTCCTCTGCACCCTTTCCAATGTTTCCACATCCTTCCTATAATGTGGTGACCAGAACTGTACGCAATACTCCAAGTGCGGCCGCACCAGAGTTTTGTACAGCTGCAACATGACCTCATGGTCAGAATTAAAGTGTGGAGGTAAGTGTATTACAGAGATAGGGAAGGATAACTACAGGAAGGATGTGGAGGCTTTAGAAAAGGTGAAGAAGAGGTTTATAGAATTATAGAATCCCTAAAGTGTGGAAATAGGCCATTCGGCCTGACAAGTCCACACCGACTTTCCAAAGAGCATCCCACCAAGACTCACCTTCCTACCTTATCCCTGTAACCCTGTATTTCCCATGGTTAACCCACCTAGCCTACACATCCCTTCACACAATGGGCAATTTAGCCTAGCCAATCCACCTAACCTGCACATCTTTGGATTTATCAATATGTTGCCTGGATTGGAGTGTGTTAACTATAAGGCAAGATTGGACGAACTTGGATTGGATTCGTCAGGGGCTGAGGGGCAACCTGCAGAAGCATATAAAATTGTGAGAGGTGTGGATAGTCAGAATCTCTTCCCCATTGCAAATCTCAAATACTGTGAGGCATAGGTTTGAAGTGAGAGGAAATTTTAAAAGAATTGTGTAACAGAGAATGTGATAGGTGCCTGGATTGTGCTGTAGGATGTAGAAGCAGATATGAGGAGGAAAGTTTGAGGCATTTAAACAGGCACGTGAGCAGCCGAGAATAGCGGGATACGGACCATGATGCTAATCTAAAATTCCAGTTTAGATTAGTATCTGGATGGGCCGAAGGGCGAGTCCCTTTGATATGCTGTTCTACGTCCATGTTCTAGGGTTTAAGGCTGTAAGAAATTTTAAGTTAAGATGTTGCAATTTATCCAAGCCGCATGTCAGGCTCAAAAGCAAACCCACAGAAAAGTAACGAATTTTGTTTTCTCTGAAGTTGCTGACATGGCTGAATCAAGTTTACACCGTGAACGTACACTCATTATGAGTGTCAGTGAAACTGCGCATAAACCATCTCACATCCAAGTGTTGGGAGTAAGGGGTCGGGCTGAACGAAGTACGAAGAAGGGAAAGCAGAAATAACCGCACGTGCTCGCAAGTCGAAAAGGACAGTATTGAGAAACTGTTAACAACCCACTCCAATAATCATTACTTGCCTAAAACACAGGGAGCTGCCTAACGAAAAAAAACAAAAACGTCGGCACTCTCGCCTGAGTCGCGCTCCACCTGGTGGTGGGAGGTCTTAGGCGGCAGACGCCAGTTGCTGGGCGGGATAAGAGTGGCTGCTTCCACTGGAGGGGCGGGTTCTTGCTGCTGATGGGAATTCCCGGCGCTCTCCGCCTCCCTTCCCCAACCTCCTTCCCCCCTCCACCCCCACTCTCATGTGGGAGGACAACAGAGATCGAAGCCAGAGGCGGAAGTGACGTTTGGTGTTGTGGCACTGGGAGATGGCGGCTGTCGAGCTGAGGGTAAACGCGATGCTGGGCCCAGGAACAGGAAGCAAATGGTCCTCTTGGGTTTGTTTGGGTTTACTCAGCGTTATCAGGGCCGGTATCGCCGCGGAGGTGTCTAAATGGAGCATTCCTGTTACAGAGGTACGTTAGCAAAAGAATCTGCCCAGGCAGGGGGGATAGAAACTGGAACGGAGGTGGAGTGAAAGGACTGTCGAAAAGAGGAGGGGGGTAAAAAGGGTGGCGGTGCGTGGGAGGTGGGTGAGTGGCAGTAGAGTGTGGCAGAGATTAAGAGTGACGGGATCAGAGTCGGAGTAGCTAGAAGTGAGAGGGGGAGCGCTGTTTGAGCGTGGTGGGGTGAATTGGCGAGCATGAGGCGTATGATGGGAGGGGAACTTGGGCAGGAGATGTATATGCGTAAACTCAGCAATATGCTGCCAGTTCCTCCAGGTATTTCTGATTTTGCTTCAGATTTTGAGAATCTGCAGTTCTTTATTTTAGAAGTTGTTGGCTGTCGTGGATGCGCTGAATGGGAATGTATTATAAATCTATATCTACCAGTTCTCTGTATTGTTTCTGTTTTTAATACCATATTGTGAACACCCAACCCATCATATGATTAGTTGAAACTGTCCCAAAGCTGACTCTGTTTGGCCTGTGTATAGTTCAATGAAGATAGATTTATTTTCTGTAAAGTTTGCAATTTTCCATCACTGGACAGCTAATAGTTTGTTGCAATTTTGGTGCTGGTGATCAACGGGGTACCTCACTCAATGTTCTCTTGCCCTAAGACCAGAGGTAGGAGCAGAAGTAGGCCATTCAGTCCATTGAATCTGCTCTGCTATTCAATGAGATCATGCTGATCTGATAATCCTCAACTCCCCTTTCCTGTCTTTTCCCAATAACCGTTGATTCCTTACTGATTAAATGTATACAGCCTTGAATGTATTCAATAACACACCCTCATTAGCCCCCTGCAGTAAATAACTCTACATATTTACTATCCTCTGAGACAAGAAATTCCTCCTCATCTCTGTCCCAAATATGTAATTCTGAGATGATGCCCTCTGTCCTAGACTTTCCCACAAGGGGACGCAACCTTTCCACATCTACCCTGCCAAGTCCCCTAAGAATCTTGTATGTTTCGATAAGGTTGTATCTCATTCTTCGAAATGTCAATGGGTACAGGCCCAATCCACTCAGTCTGTCTTCATAAAACAATGCCCCCATTATGTGATTTCAACGTAGTAACTTACTCTGGATTGTCTCCAATGCCAGCATATCTTTCCTTAGATGAGGGGCCCAAGACTGTTCACAGTATTCTAGCTGCAGTCTGACTAATGCCTTGTATAGTTTTAGAAAAATCTGCCTACTTTCTACTCCATTCCTTTTGAAGTTAAGACCTTGGCTTCTCAAAGCTTCCCATTCTATCATCTTTTCTATTTGTATACCTCTGTATGTTTACAAAACGAGAACATACCCTGAAAATTTGGAACTGCTATTAAGAGAATGTGATCTGTATGTTGTACCACAAAACCACAATGTGAGTGTTTGGTTCAATTCATTAGCCTTGTTTGAATATTTTGTTCAATATTTCTTTAAATGCATACGCCAAGAAACAGTAACATAACTACAAATCTTCTTTGGCGTTGCTCACATTTAGTGAAAATGCCATTTTATCGTGGAAGCGTTATGCTTTATGACTAAGTATTGCAACTGTTTGCACTTTCTCTGTCATTACGCTCGACTGGACAGGTTTTAGAAATGCTAATAAACTAAGAATTGTTTTACCTTGTCCTACCTGCCCCTTGACAACGACCCCACCATGGCCCATCAAGACACCGTCTTCCACCCTGTCCATGACCTCATTGCCTCCGGTGATCTCCTCTCCACCACCTCCAACCTTATAGTCCCCCAGCTCTCGCACTGCCTGGTTCTACCTGCTCCCCAAGATCCACACGCCCAACTACCCTGGCTGACCCATCTTCTCTGCATGCTCCTGCCCCACTGAATTCATCTCTTCCTCCCTCAGCTCCATTCTCTCCTCCTTGGTCCAGGCAGTCCCCACCTTCATCCAGAACATAAACTATGCCCTCCACCTCTTTAGAAACTTCCAGTTCCCTTCATCCTTATTATGGAAATGCAATCCTTATACACGTCCGTACCCCATAAGGACAGCCTGCAGGCCCTCATTTTTCCCTCCAACAGACCCATCCAGTCGTTGTCCCCACCCCCCCCAACACCATCACCACAATACCCTCCTGTGCTTTGCCGAATTAGTCCTCACCCTCAATAACTTTTCCTTCAGTTCTTCCCACTTTCCCCAAATCCATGGGGTGGCCATGGGCACTCGCATGGACCCCAGCTACGCCTGCCTCTTTATCGGTAATGTTGAACAGTCCCTCTTCAGCATGTACATCGGTGCTGTTCCCCAACGCTTCCACCATTATATCAATGACTGCATCAGTGCCGCATCCTGCACCTGGGCTGAACTAGAGCAGTTCATCAACTCTGCTAAAAACTTCACTTGGTCTATCTCAAACACCTCCCTCCATTTCCATTTCCGGCAACAGTTTACGGACCGACATCCACTATAAACCCACAGACTCAATAGCTACCTGGACTACAAAATCTCTCACGTCGTATACTGCAAAAACTCCATCCTGTTTTCCCAATTCCTCCATCTCTGATGAGGAGACGTTCCACTCTCAAGGATCCCGGATGTCCTTCCATTTCAAACAATGTTCTTTTCCCACCTCTGACATCCAGATAGCCCTCC